AGTGTCACCCACCCATGTCACGAGTTTTGCCTGTCAGCAGCTAGAGGTGCAGGGCCGCAGAACCCAGACTCCCCCTGCACCTATCTCCTTGACAGCTGGCAGGCTTCATGGCCACAGCAGGGCCTAGCAGGCCTGTAGTTTTCACCCCCTCCCATGCTCCCAGATGGACACAGTTGCACAAGCACCCATGACACGAATTTTGCCTGTCACCAGCTAGAGGTGCAGGGCCCCAGAACCCCTGCACCCATCTTGAAAGCCGGCAGGCTTTGTGGCCTCAGCAGGGGCTAGCAGGCCTGCAGCTTTCACCCTACTGCACCTTAACACACACAGTGTCACCCATGTCATGAGTTTTGCTTGTCTGCAGCTTGAGGTGCAGTTTCCCGCAAACCCCTGAACGTATTTCCTTGAAGCTTGGCAGGCTTCATGCCCTCAGAAGGGACTACCATTTCTGCAAGTTTCATCCAAATCGGGCCAGAAATGCCAAAGTTATAGGCTGTTTCGAGCTTCCCCATTATAGCCTATGGGCGAAACATTGAAACAGAGAAACTGTTTTGACAAAACAAAACGGAACAGCTGGTTCAAATAGAAAGGTAACGCTGTTCTGTCAAAAAGTTGAAACAGAACAGTGCCATTTCGCGCAGCCGTAGTGGCTAGGCTGGATCTTAAAAGTGACATGATGAAGGAATGGAAACTGGGTGGAGTGGTGGAGGGAGGTTGTTCATGGTTATAAAACCAGGAAATCAATAAAGAGGAGGTAGTTTGGTCAGATTAATTAAAATGTGTTCTTTTGTTTCATGTCTATTTAATGAAGCCGGTTGAAATAGAAAAGGAAATATTGACAGTCCCCACTCCCAGCTCACTCTATTTAGTGACTGACATTTTGGAGAGAGGATTTTTATTGTCGTGGCTGCTGCTGCTGCTTGAAAATTCAGTTACTACACCCCTTGAATTTAAAGCATAAGAGGTCAAAAAATCATCCAGTAGAAGTAGGGAAGGCAAAAGCTGACATTCCTTATGTTTTTATATAAGGTAAAATGCTAGCATAAAACTCCTTCCACCATTTTCAGGCCTCTTATACATGAGGATGAACTGAATCTCCACTTCCCCTTCTCCCCCCACCTCGCTTTGAAATCCCAGTTTTGTAAACTAAATCCTTTTACAGCTTGCCTTAAAACAAAGGGCAGTGTAATTGAAATATGCGTGTTCTGTAGAGCAGCGTTTCTCAACCTGTGGGTCGCAAGAACATTTAAAAACAACTTAACGTGCACCTTGCTGGGATCATCTGACCCCCAGCAGTCTTTCCTGCCCAAGTGCAGGGAGGGCTGGACCCGATGATCTCATGAGGTTCCTTCCAGCCCCTAATATCTATGAATCTATGAAAGGATTGCAAACAAACTTAAAAAATGGATGCTCCTTTAAAGGAGAAAAAATGGGAAATGGTGGCTTTTCCCTTGCAGGCTGACAGAGTTCCAGCCTGCAAGGGGCTGCTTGGGGCCCCCCATGCCCTACACATTTCCCCCTGCCCCATATGGAGGGGCTGGGGCCTG